GAAAACCAACTCTGAAGGTTTTTCGCCTAATTTTTTTCCTTCTCCAAACCATCAGTCACATGGTCCAATCAAGATGCCGTCCGGTCACCTGGTAACTTCACTCCTCCTCTCCTCTGACCACCTGTGGAAGTGTCCTTGGTTCCCAGGGGAAAGTATTCTATTTTGGCTACAAAACCCCAGCTCTCTATATTTCCCCCCCTCCTCCCTATCCCTCAGGTCCAGTGTGGCAACACTGAAGCATCAAAATGGCTGTGGTCAGGTCAGCTTCTGGGTTGACAAGATGGGTGCACACGGCCCTGCTTGCAGAAAAGGAGCTTTCTGTGCCGGCGTGAGGGCCTGCTTCTTAAGCAAATTGAGTTATGTCCCCATATCTCCTACTGGTGCGGCCTGGTTCCAAATGGGCCGCAGCCCAATACCAGGTTGTGGCCTGCAGGTTGGGGACCACTGATCCAGGGATGGGCTTCAAAAAATTTAGCAACCAATTCTCTGCCCGGTTGCTGGGTGGGTGTGGCCATGGTAGACGGGGCCTAGTCGGCCTCCTGCATCATGGCAGGGGGGGCTGTTTTCACCCTCCCCAGGCTCCGGAGGCTTCGAGCTTCCAAGAGGGCGAAAATGGGCTCCCTGGGCTCCGGAGGCCCTCTAGAGGCTGGAAACGGGCCTGTTTCTGGCCTTCTGGAGCTTCTGGGAGGCCTATTTTTCATCTTCCCCAGGTTCCGGGGGCTTTCCTCAAGCCTCTGGGAGGGCAAAAACGGCCTCCCCGGGCTCCTAGAGGCTGGAAATGGGCCTGCTTCTGGCTTTCCAGACTCTCTAGGACGGGTCGCCAACCTTTTGGACCTCAGGGACCACCAAACTCATAATTTTAGGTCCCTGGGACCACTAACTGATTCTGTGGGCATGGCCTAATTTGTGGGTGTGGCTTGGTGGTCATGTGACTGGCTGGGCATGGGTTGTATTGATTTTTTTATTTAAAAAAAGAGCAACTTTTACCCAAAATCAGGCAAAGCAGGCAGGCAGGTTGAGTTGCTCACAGAATCACAGATTCATTCAGAGATCTATCTTTATGCAATCTGCTACCTGAGTCTTTCACATAAAATTTGCTTTCAAGCAAACTCACAAAATTAACTCACAACGCACCCTGCATGTAAATATTGAATTTTTTATTTAAAAAAAGAGCAACTTTTACCCAAAAGCAGGCAAAGCAGGCAGACTGAGTTGCTCACAGAATCATTCAGTGATCTATCTATCTGTCATCGGCTAGCTCAGTCTCTCAAATGTGCTTGCTGTGAGTCTGCACTGAATTTACTTGAAAGCAAACCTTCAGTCCTAAGGGAGGTTCGGCTGTACTTACAAGCAGAGCCGGAGATCTAAAGACTAGCTAGAAAACAAAAAATCCAACCATTTCCTGCTTCCTAGCTAATCTGAATCTCCCAGCACAGCAGAACACCTGATGGTCGGAAAAAGGAAAAATAGTAATTTAGCAGGTAAGTTCACCAGGTAAGGAGTGAGTGGGCAGGGAGGGTTCCCATGGGCCATGTGGGCTGCACAGCCTTGTGTTTCTGCACAGCCTGGATTAATTGCTTTGGGGGGGGGGTGCTCTGGGGGTGAGATTTCTCTGCAGCCCACCAAAATTTTCTCACGGCCCACCAGTGGGCTGCGGCCCACCGGTTGACAACCGCTGCTCTAGGAGGCCCATTTTTCACCCTCCCCGAGCCCTCTGTACAGGCCTTACACCTACCTGGGATCCAAATTGGGCCACGTGGAGACTCCTGAGAGGGGCGAGGCGGGGTGAATGTGGGTGAGGCCAGCCAATCATTGCAACTACCCGTTCAGTGAACCAGATGTAAAATTAACATCCGGTTCACCCAAACCGGTGCAAACCATTAGCAGCCCACCCCTGCCCCTGTCCCAAAGCACCTAAAGGCAGGGCAAGGATGGAAAATCATGTCTGACTTAACAAATGTCTTACTTAACAACAGAAAATGTTGGGCTCAGTTGTGGTCACAAGTCAAGGACTACCTGTATAATGATTTCATTGAAAGGCACAACTGCACACCTGTACTTTAAAGACTTTCTGAGTAGGAAGAAACATAAGACAAGCAAAGATTTATTACCTGCTTTTAAAACAGCTTTATTCGTTTGTAAAAAAAAAAAATAACGTTATTTTATTTTTTTGTTTATATTGTTGCAATTTTATTTGTTTTTCCCCACCTTCATGAACAGGTAAATAATAATAAAAGTTGTTGTGCAAAGTGCTAAACTTGGCTAATGTTAATCCAGGTTGAGCTTCTTGGAAACTTAACTAGCCATCCATTTGGTTCATTTACAATCCAATGCATTGCACAAACCCAGATAATTGTTTAATTCAGCAAGTAGGTTAACACATTGTTTCTCAGCCTCTCCAACTTTTAAAATGTGTGGACTTCACCTCTCAGAATTCTAAGATGTTTGGCTTCAATTCACAGAATTCTAATGTGTTTTGACTTCAACTCCCAGAATTCTAAGTTGTGTGGACTTCGACTTACACAATTTCCCAGCCAGCTTCAATTCTTTGGACTTGAAGTGCATACATCTTAAATTTGCCAAGGTTGAAAAACATTGGTTTCACCTGTTAGCCTATACTATAAATTTGTAAGCAAGATAAAGTAGTTACAATAAAACTAATTTTCTATTTTAACCTCCACAAATATCCCCAAGAGTCTAGACGATTTCCTTCACTAGTCATCCTAATCTGGTCATTGTAAAACCAATCTGCATCAAACAAGGTGGTTATTTAAAGCTCAACAACATGCCCCATTCACCCCACACACACAGAAAGACAAATTGCAAGGAAGGTTTAATTTCCTTTTTATGATTAACATTATTCAGTTTGGGAGCATTATGAAAAATACACACTTTACAAAGGTTTAAGGGAAAGAGAGAAAATGTAATTGATTGTTTGAACGGTGTTCTTATTTTCCCAATTTGGATTACTTTCCCCCTATGGAGCCGTGGTGGCACAGTGGTTAGAGTGTAGTACTGCAGATTACTTCTGCTGCCTGCCGACTACCTGCAATTTGGCAGTTCCAATCCTTCCTGGACTCTGCCTTCCATCCTTCTAAGGTGGGTAAAATGAGGACCCAGATTGTTGGGGACAATATGCTGACTCTATAAACCTCTTAGAGAGGGCCATAAAAGCACTGTGAAGCGGTATATAAGTCTAAGTGTTATTGCTATTCTGGATAGGGAAAAATCTGGGCATTTTAGAAAAAGAAGCTTCAACTTTAAAGGTGCAGCGCACCAGATGTGTCTCAATATTGAAAACACCTGAATTACTTCTAAGTAAATCTTGAGGGGCTGCCTTATGTCCCAAAATGGTCAAAATCCAAGGAATTATTCAGAGAATGTTCTACACAGAGTGAATGAAATCTGTACTGATTACTTTCCATGTGGGGGGTCTACTTTCCTTATATAGATTCCACCTCTAGAATGCAGTACCCCTTGTGAAAATTAACCAATATCGCTAAGCCAAAATAATAGCAATAGCGCTTATATGCAGCTTTACAGTGCTTTACCTGTACAAAATGTGGCTTTTGCCAAATGATTTATATGCGGTCAACTGATTCAGGAAAAACATGGCACTGGCCACATCCCATACAGTTAGATACAGATATAGATATCAATATGTATAAATAAATATATTTATTTATTATATGCTGCCCATCTTAATACTGTGTGATTCTGGGCGGTATCATTGAGAAAAGCTCCTTTCACCTTCTCTAAATAAAACAAACCCTTATTCAACCATGAACCCAACCAGCGGAAGACCATACCCAATCCAGCATGGCTGAATGTTGCAGGTAAACCCAATCCTCGTCAGCTGTACGTTGTGTTTTAGGGCTCAGCACGTGGCGTGAGTCCAGGCAATTTATTCTACAAACTTTGGATTGCGTGAAACTAGGCATTCATTCCTACACAATGGACTACACGTGAAATATACTCCCTTGCAGTGGTGGGATTCAAAAACTTTTGCCACCGGTTCAGTGGGCATGGCTTGGTGGCCGCGCGTTGTGCATGCGCACACACTTTGCATGTGTGCACATGCCAAACACGCACTTTGCACAGGCACAGAGGGGTTCCAACTCAACTCCTGCAAGCCTGCACTCTCCTAGTTGCTTCAGCAGCTGCCGCGTAGCACTGTTCTGTGCCGCGCAAAGCAGCTGCGCTTCAAAAGCGGAGGGTAAAAGTGAGTATGGGAGCCCAGGTGGGCGGGCCCAACAACAGAACAGTAGAGAGAACCGGTTTGGTCTCCGCTGCTCATCGCCGCTACCGGCTCGGCAGAACCGGGCTGAACCTGGTGAAATACCACCACTGCTCCCTTGGTGTTCGGAACAGCCAAGCTTAACAACAATTGATCTTACCAAGCTCCAAGTATAAAGTAAGCAAGCTGGAATCATCAAACCCAACCCTCCCAAAAGTGAATTTCCTTGCAAGCAAGGTTGTTTCAAGCAGGAAGGAAGGGTTGAGGTTCTCCCCCCCAGGAGGGATAAATCAGGGGTCCCCAACCACTGGGCCCCGGACCGGTACCGATCCGTGGATCATTTTGTACCGGGCTACCTATTTTGCTTGGGCGCCACCATTTTGTTTTGATGGCGCTTGAGAAAATGCTTCCGGGTGTGCTTGTCGGTCGTCGGTTGGAAAGCGGCGTTTGGGTGCTGAAGGAATCCTCGCGCCTTAGTTTCGTCGAAGGGGGGGGCGGCTTCGAACGAAGAGCCGTCCCGATGGCGGTAGAGTCTCGCATTACTCAGGAGGAGATTAAGAAAGAGCCCGAAAAGCCCATCGACTGCGAGAAGGTACAAAGGAGGAGTTGAAGGTGGCAGGGAGAAGCGGGGGACAGCTGGCTGGCCGGTCGCTCAGCTCGCCTTGCCTTGATCGTGCGTGCTGATGCCGGTACCGGTCCATGGATCATTTTGTACATTTTGTACCGGGCCGTGGTACAAAAAAGGTTGGGGGCCACTGGGATAAATCACCAACCACAGGGCTGTTTCTCAACTCTATAATCATGCATCTTGATATCCGCTACCCATAACTTTGGTCAACTCATGTGGGTTGGCGTTCGCAAGGAGCAATTGCAGAGAAATTACAAAACACCTGCAAAATCATGATTGGGGAAGAAAGGAGAATCAGGCCCTTGACCCAAGAAACAGTCCATGTAAATCGGACACAACCGAACCAAGGACTAGGCTTGGATTATTAGTTGAAAGAATTGAAGGCAGAGCCAAGAAGCAAGAGGGAAATTCTTTTTAACCTACAATTTTCCAGGATAGGTTCGAGTCCTCCCTGGTGGAGCTGCCATGAGCTCATGTAGTCTCTCATCACAGATTGACTCCAATGATGTAGAAGACACTGGCCAAGGTGCCCACCAACAGCAACAAGGAGCTCTTTTTCACACTGATGGCACCACTTGTGTTGCAGAAGGAATGTTGACAGCATTTCACTGAGAAAGCCATCACGCCGATATCAAACCCTACTTCAGGACATTCGGCAGAACATCCTTTGCTGATCATTTCCTTGTGGCCTTCACCTACAGGAGAGGAAGAAAATTAACATGATTGTTTTGTCTCCATCATTTAACTTTATTTTTTGGGGGTGTGGTGGCCTAGAGGTAGAGCTCTCGCCTCACCATCAGGAGGCTGTGAGTTCGATCCTAGGCAGAGGCAGATTTTTTTTCTCTCTGGGCACAATGAGAATATATCTGCTGAACAAAACTCCGCATTGGCGACAGGAAGGGCAACTGGCCATTAAAACACTCTGTTTCATTCAGTTGCCCTGACTCCACCCCGCAAGGGATTATGGGCTCATTAAAAGGAGATAATGATGATTTAATTTTATTTTTTTTCAAGAGTAGCTAATTGAAATCATAAGTCTGGGTGTTCTGGCTGCCAACTCTTTGGAAGAAGAACTCAACTACTTTTTAAAAAAACAACAACTATTATAACTAAAATTAGAAAAGGAAAGGATACAAAGTTGGTTTATTTGATCAAGCTTAAAATAAGACTATTTTCTATTCTATTTCATTCCATATTTTCTATATCCTATAACCTATCCTATTCTATTTTCTATTACATTCCATTCCATATTTTCTATATCCTATATCCTATCCTATCCTTTCCTATGCTATCCTATTCTATTTCATTCCATATTTTCTATATCCTATTTCCTATCCTATTCTATTTTCTATTCTATTCTATATTCGATTCCACTCCATTCCATATTTTCTATATCCTGTATCCTATCCTATCCTATTTTCTATTCCATTCATATTTTCTA